TGCTATTTTAAATCTTCTCTTAAACTTGTTTCTATTTGAGATCATTGAAAATTAGTAATCCTAAAATTTTCATGATAATTCTTAGGTATAGTATGACAATTATGTAATTACATCATAATAAAGCTATATATTAAAATTGAAAAAATAAGGTAAAATAGGCCAAGGGTGTTATTGGAAGGAAAGTTAGATTAAGCACTGTATATTCAAATCTTACTGTAATTGACCAAACAGACGTAAAAATTTGCAAATAATCTTATTATTGACTGTATTACAGTTCCCTTAATACAGTCCGTGATAACTTGATGGTGAAACAAATATAATGGTTTAATATGTAACTTGGTAACAATCCTACACAGCATGCCATCGTTTTAGCATAAAACTTATCAAAACAAAAAATCATTTTAGCTTAAATAAGATCCTGTGTCCTTTTCTGACTCTGAAGTTACCTCTGCTTAAAGTTAAAATTCTCTTTCCTCAACTGCTATTTGATACCTTTAGTTCTTTAGTCTCATTTTCTCCACATCATTCATTCTACCGCTTGTCTGGATTTTGTATTGTTTTCAGAACATTGGAATTTGCTTCTACTTTCTTTTATGTTATTTGGATTGATGTTGCATCTTTTTCATTTAGCAAGATCTTTATTTTGCTTCCTACATGCAGATTCCTAAGAAAGGGAAGATTTATTCAGTGAATGAAGGAAATGCTAAGAACTGGGATGGTCCAACATCCAAGTATGTGTAATGAATTTAATTATCTACATTTTCCAGTTTCTGTGATGTCTTACTTTTCTTCGAATTTCAGATATGTGGAGAACTGCAAGTTCCCCAAGGATGGTTCTTCACCCAAATCTTTAAGATATATTGGAAGGTACTGGAGCTATGTAGTGTGAGACTTTAAGTGCTTAAATTGTTTAGCTTCTTATGTGTATTTTTGTGGGTTTTAACCACTGTGATTTCATTTCTTTCCATAAAAAAGTTGCAACTTCAACTTCATTGTTCAGGCATTGAATTAACTTTCTAAGATGTACTTAGAAATAGAGATGAAAAACTTCTGGTGTATTGTCATATCACAGATATCAGAGTGTGTATGATCTTCACCAAACATCTTGTTTTAAAAGCACTTGAATTTTGTATGAACCAACTTATTTGTCCTGGCATCTTAATCAGGTGTCAACCATGAATGATTGTCATTTCTCTCGTCATACTAGGCAATAGAATTGTGTTCTTCTGATTAATTAGAGAAGTAATGTGAAGCTGAAACTCTTAACATATATAGAAATCGCTGAAGCTGAGCTCCTCAGAACAAAAGCGATTATGATCTATCTATTTTTCTCATAGACATGGCAAAAGTGGAAACCAAGCTTCCTATACTTTTAGCTTGAAGTCTGATAGCCTGAGTGGTGTCATCTATTGCTAAGATGAGTAGCATCTTAAGAATCATTATGACCATCTTACAGCTTTATAAGTCAACTACAGTTCAAACTTCAAAAGTTAAAGGTTCATACGAAATGTGCAGACAGGGCTGAATATCTATCAAATACTTAATTATAATCAAGCTCTTGACTGGTTTGGTTTGATTGGATGGGTTGGTTTAATCAAATGGCTCCTTATATTTTGAGTGAGACATGAATAGGTCTTGTGAATTCTGAAAATCGTCAATGGGTCTGATGTTGGAATTTTTTTTATTTTCAATTGTTAAGAATTAAGATGGATTGCTCCATTGGGATTTGCATATTATTTTGCAGTTGTTCTTAATGGGCAGATGCAACAACTTTTGTTTCCATTAGACAAATCTGAGTAAATGAACTAATCATGTTCTGAGTGTGATCATAGATGTATGTTAAATATAACCTGATATAAGTAGTTATTATCACCTCATTTTAAATGACATCTGACTGTTGTCTCGCAGCATGGTAGCTGATGTTCATCGAACATTACTCTATGGTGGTATCTTTTTGTACCCAGCTGATAAGAAAAGCCCCAACGGGAAACTGCGGTAAGTTATGCACATCTTTTGAGTTACAAATGGAACTTCTCAACTATTATTATCTGAAAGACTGCAACTGAAACTGTATGAAACAGGGTTCTTTATGAAGTGTTTCCCATGTCATTTCTGATGGAACAAGCAGGAGGCCAAGCATTTACGGGAAAGCAGCGGGTATGATTTCTGCATATTTAGTTACACTATAATAGAAGACAGACTGCAAGTTTGCTTTGGTTCCATTTTTAGTCCTTGTCAAAGAATTCTCCTAGGAAAAAGTGAAAAGTGTCGCGGAGCTGGTATTCTTAGTCCAGTACTATTATACCTTTCTTCTTTTGGACTTGAGTTTAGTGCTCGAGATGTCAAATGTTGTTTACTTTTGTGAGTCAAGATTAAAGATCCCTGAAAAAGCATCGTCGAGGGCTTAGATGGTAATTGTTTTATTTGGTCATCTTAAACAGATAAATGTAGAAAAAAGAACTTTAATGCAGTCAAAGTATGTCATTTTTAGACTACTAATATTACTTTTATGCAGGCACTCGACTTAGTTCCTAAGAAAATACATGAAAGAGCGCCGATTTTCCTTGGTAGTTATGATGATGTGGAGGAGATCAAAAGGCTTTATGCTGCTGAAGAGAAAAACTAATGCATGCACATTTACCTTATCTCACTTTACAACTCTTGCTGGTGCTGATTACTAATTTGTCAAAGTAGAGCAAATTGCTCGTTATAGTTCAAAATCATTAAAGGATGATTGCAATTCTATGTTGCACAATAGAGTATAAGCTACTCTGCTAATAATACGTGCATATAAATGAGCTTGTGCAAGCTGCTACGTGTTTTTAATCTATTTGCCTATTGTCCCTTCATCAATTCGGGTCACGGGCTCAGTTTAGGTGGCTAAGTGAAAAATTCAAACAAGTTCAGGGCGCTGTACTGTTGAAAATAAACAAAGTTTTACTAATAGAACATTATTCTGTGGTGCAAGAAATTGTGTTCAAGGATTTTTCAAGATACAAAGGTGGTAGAACTTTGTCCAGGGATGATAGATTTTGAGGCCTCTATTACACCTCTTCATGTTAGGCTAATAAATTAGTATATTATTTGTCCAGATTATTACTCAACTGAATCCTAGTAACGAATGGGAATGTGATTCAGACCCTTGTTTTTCATTTGCAGTATTCTCCTTTCCGTTTACAGCTTGTTTGGATGGTTGTTACATGTTGTATTGTATCGTATTGTTACTTTAAATACAATGTTTGTTTTGATTGTTACTTAAATTTTATTGTATCGTATCGTTAAGTCCGTTGTTACGTAACGAAGAAAAGTGTCACTTTATGGAACGACTGATTTGGTGTGGTCGCATCGTTTCCTTATTTTTCTCTCATCTTGCCCTTCCTTATTATATTAAATAATCCTATTTTATCTTTTACCCTACTTTTTTATATAATAATTTTATCTCGTACCTTACTTTTTCTTATTAATATTGCAAGTTTATTTTTCATATTGTTGGTGCATAGCATCATGAAACGATGACAAACAATACAATCTATCCAAATATTATATACATCAAAACGATACAGTACAATACATGACTACGATACATTATGAAACGGTACATAACAACCATCCAAATAAGATGTTATTCATTCTAGCATTTTATATCTACAATAATACAAGGTATAATGATTTTAAATTTAGGTAAAACCCAAACTTTATTATTATGAATTTAAAGAAGGGAGAATATCAGGCCATGTTTGGCCCAAATAATTATGTACTTGTTTTCTGAAAATTATGTTGTTTAGTTGTGACTAAAACAAAGAAAAATCACATTACCACTCAGAGATGCTATAGAATGGATGAGATTAGGGATGCTTATCCGACGGATTAGGCGGTTATTTATGCTTAACGGTTCGACTTATCGGTTATCGGTCTGTAGTAATCCGCTAGCCATCCAATAACACATCGGACGGATTGGTATCGGATTAATGATAAGCGGACGATTGTCAGGCGGTTTATCCGCTAAATCAAATAGACAATAATAGAGAAGTAGAGAACTAGAGAAATTTGTCATTTTTCCACAAAAATCATGTGCTAGATTATAAAGAAGGGCGACAGCTTCTTTTTACCCCACTCTTTGATTTCTTTTTGGCAATTACAACTAGCTCAACCATAAGAAACTAAGCATATTTCAACCAATCTGGTAAGTGCTAGTAACTAAAGTCTAATATGTCAGAAAGCTAGTTTGAATCAGTATCAACATTTGAACTCAACCTGTCTACAAATATCATCTATCATTGTTGCGTCTTCTCCCTTTATCAAAAAAACAAATAGAGGAGGAAGTCCTTGATATATTTCTGCTATCTCTCTTTACACTTAAACCAACTCTGAGGGAATATCAGATTTAGCTTGCAATGCGAAACTCATGTAATCAACTTGTTAACACGATTCTGCTTGATTGATTTGGGAAGCTCATGGCCCTCTTCTGGAATTATCTTCTTGCCTTCTTGATTAATAAGTTTAACCTCCTGAATGATCTTGCCTAATGCACAGTTCTAGAAGGGGCTGACTTGAATTTGAAGTGAAATCAGAATCTACTCTATTTCTAGGCCAAAAATACAGCACAATTGCTATTGAGATTTGATAAATTAGGGATTTAGATTTTAGGCCTTAGGGTTTAAAAAATTACTGCATAAGGGTAAAACTATAAATATAAAACTCTTAACGGGTTAACGGGTTATATGAGTAATCCGTCCCCAAACTGTTAAGCCGTTAATTATAAAATTTCAATCCGTTCGCCAACCGTTACTTACCCCAATAACCCGATTCGCCAATAAGCCTTTTTTCCGGTCTCTGCACATAGCTTTCAGTTCCAGGAATAGCATTTATCCTTTTAATGTAATTTCTTGGTGCAAAACACCAATTATAATCAAGCATAAAATAAAAGGGAAATTATTATGTTTTAGTGTAAAGGTAAATTTTTACCCTTGAATACTGGGTTACTAACAATCAGTTAATTCAAATATAGAAAAGGTCTTCCCTTTCCTCTATTAACGGTTCACCCTTTCCCCCAAAAGAACAAGATTGACGAAAAAAGTTCCGCTTTTCATACTTCTCGACATGGCACATCTAACAAGTTTTCCTGTTAACAGCAAAAGAACAATCAATTACCATCTCCGAATTCAACAACCTCCATTTTCTCATATTCTTTATTTCTCAACGTACACAGAAATTCGTACAAACTGAGAACAAAAAAATGTCAAGCGACAGTGACGAAGATGAGCTGTTACAAATGGCATTACAGGAGCAAGCACAGGGCAAAAAACCGCCAGAGCAAATGCCAAAGCCGAGTCCTAGTAGCGGCAGAGGAGGTGCGACGCCGAACAGAAAAAGCACCAATGCCGTGCAGCAGAAGCAGAGAAAAGGAGTGGAGGAAGATGAAGATGATTCAGACTTAGAGATACTCAGCATTTCATCTGGTGATGATGTTCCTTCCTCTAAGGATCGTAAGGGCGTGTCGAAGAGAAGAGGTGCTGCAAGTGGAGGAGGAAGATCAGTTGGAAAGGATGATGATGAACCGTGGGAAGGCGGTGAACCTGATTGCTGGAAACGCGTGGATGAAGACGAGGTATCCTTACTTGCCTTATATATTTACTAGTCGTGTATCTAGAATTTAGAGTCAGTGGGCTTCGAGTAGGTGTGGCAATATTTTAAAAATACATTTTACTAAGCACTGATGGTGTCACTTGTTAGGTAATTAAAGTTAAATATCTTGTTAAACATTAATTGATTTGATTAGTGGCGGATTCAGAGGTGAAGATGTGGGTTCATGGGACCTAGTAGCTTTTGTCCATACCTTGTATAAAAGATTCAGCAAATACCTATAAATATATAACAGTGAACACAATTGTTATTGTACATTAACTTGAGGTCGCTGTAAACCCATAAACTTTAAATCCTGGACTTGCCTAACTAACCTGCTATTACAGGTTAAATTCATCGACAGTATAAAAAATATCTTTACGTTGTCAATGTGTTGTGGGTATAATATTTGGTAGTAGCTTTGTAAGCTGATGCTGTGATTATGATTTCATGATGTTTTGTCAAAAAGCTGTGGATAGCTTAAACTTTTGTTTGATTTCTTTCCCCTTACGTGGGCAATTCTTGTGGTTTTAATACTGTTAGCTGATTTTACGATTGGTAATCTCATTATTATTCTTTCTGCATATAGTCATGTTTGTTATGGAGGAAAAAGTTTTAAATTGGAACACCATTTTATGGATTATTTAGAGTGTTTGGTTCAGTGTAAAGTAGCAATTTACCATGATAATTATTCAAGGAGGAGGATTGGGTATGACGATACTGTTTTGGTAATATTTTTGCATATTAAAGATTAACAACACTTTCTCAGTGTTTGTTGAAGCACGTGGTATGGAGTAAGAGTTGGAATATTCATAAAGGAAACGAGTTCAGCTGACAATATTTTCCTGAAAATATCTTTCTTAGCAAAAGTGACTTTGCTTTATTGGTGTGTACCTGTTAGAACTATAGTTGCTTATTTACTATAAGAGATTATTCTTTGCTTCGCATACATTTGGGGTTGTTCATCTGAGGAAGTCAGTTTTATTTTGTGAGCTCTTTGTCATGACTCGTCACATCATCATGCCACGTAGGTGCCATTTGACATATATTAATACCATGTGGAAGCTTACATAGAGGAATGCTAGCATCTATGAGAAATTCTAGAGAAGTATGGACATTTCCTTAGGAAGACCCTAGATCCCTATGGAATTGCTAGGAAAGTCCTTGGAATCTACTAGGTTTGTAGAGAGTTCTAGAGAAAGCCCTTATCTTGTAAATATTAAGGACTTGTGTAACAATTAATATTTACATACTGGCCCCTCAGAGACTAGTATATAAAGGGGACCATTCATTTGTAATTCACCAAGCAAAAATAATCAAGTTCTCTACAATAAAAAGCTTTATTTGGTAAATTTCTCTTGTTTTTTTTTATCTAACATTCCCTTAGCGATCTTGAGTGTTGTATTTTAGGCTGACTTGGCACAACAAGATCATGATCGAGTTGTGTAAGATCATAAGCAAGTTGTCAAGTACTGCACGTGCGCTTAGTTCAAGACTAAGGACGTGACAACGTGGTATCAGAGCAAAGGTTGCAACTAAGGGAATGGCGAACGACGGAGAAATTAATGCTGCCAACACCCAAGCCAACGTCATCCAAGATGCTGCTGGCAAGAAGAGTTGTAACAAAAAGAGGAATGCCACCAACAAGAGCCAGGAGGTGCCGCTCGAGATTGTGCCAAACGAGGGGCTTACATTCCAAGAATCATCTGCCACTAAGGCAAGCGAGGATGAAGTGGAGGTCCTGCCGGAGGACGTATTGCTCGGTAAAAGTGGGTGATGAAGGTGAATGCGGGGATGGACGCCATCAAGATTGAGAGTATCCGAAATGACTTGGAGGGACGTACACAGACTGAGATGGAGCTAAGCCAAACCATCTCTGCCTTGGAATGCAGACTCATGGAGGTCTTGAGTACTATCGATGCTATGAAGGCAAAGATAGAATTACTCGAGGAAAGTGTCAATGCTGGCGTAACCGAGGCAGACAGTAATGTTATTGTGATGAGGGAGACTAAGATCGAGGCTCCCAAACCGCCGGTGTTCAAAGGTGTTCGTAATGCACAAGAAGTGGAGAATTTCCTTTGGCACTTGGAGAACTACTTCAGGCACGACAAAGTGAAAGATGACGAGGCCAAGATCAACACTGCTGTGTTGTACCTCTCAGAGATTGCCGCGTTGCGGCGGCGTCGAAAATGTGTTGACATGGAGAAGGGGCTATGCAAGATTGAGACGTGGGAGCAGTTTAAGAAGGAGTTGAAGAAGCAATTCTACCAGGTGAAGTATGAGGCTAGGCGGAAGCTAAGGGAGCTCCGACAGACGGCCACAATTCGGGAGTATGTGCGCGAGTTCACTACCTTAAAGCTGCAAATCCCGTCATTATCCGAGGAAGATTCACTCTTCTACTTCATGGATGAGTTGCAAAATTGGGCAAAGCAGGAGTTAAGAAGACATCAAGTAGTCAACGTGGATGAGGCCATAGCGGTAGCCGAGTCGCTCATTGACTTCAAAGATGGAACCTGCCAAGTTTAAAGAAGGCAACGCTGAGAGGGGTGGGGGAGATCATGACAAGGACAACGGGAAAGGCATAGCCGAGGTATACAAGGGCAATGGTAAGGGGCCATCCCATAACGGACTGGGGTCCAAGCAAAACAGTAAGGGGACAGAAAACAGTAGCGAGTACGTGCCTAAGGGAGGGTGCTACTTCTTTAAAGGATCACATCGGGCAAGTGAATGCCCAGATTTGGGGAGGCTTGCATCAATGATCGGGAACTTTGCTCAAGCACACAAGGGTGACACATGAGGGGCCGCCTGTATTGGGGGGATGCGCTTGGAATCTAAGCCGAAAGTAGGGGATTCCAAAGCCTATCTTGGAATCATGCAAATGGAGCATGGTGGCAGCAAGAAAAGTTGGGCGGACATAGTTGAAGAGGATGGCGAGTTACAAAGTGATGGCACACTATAAGACTTGGACGATGCACCAAGAAGAGGGGTCAAGTTTTCTAGCAAGGCTGTGACCACGGAGGGCAGCCAAATAGGGAGTGGAAGCATGGACCCGATGCTTCATAAGCTGCTAGACTTGGTTGAGTCATGGGGAGATTCAGGCCAAGAGCAAGGATAAGCATCTGATGGGCGGAGGATCGAGGTCATCGTTACTAGCTGTCCAAAGTACAAACGGGGCAAGAAGAAAGGTGACCAATACCTTGTGACATGGGAAGGCGAACCGCTCCATATAGCATCATGGCTAATGGACAAAGATCTCCGGCGACACCAAGGCGAGGTGCGCGCGTACGTCTCGATGCTTTGTGCCGAGGGCGGCACAAAATTGGGTGGGGGAGAGTGTTATGACCCGCCACATCATCATGCCATTTGGCATATAGTAATACCATGTGGAAGCTTACATAGGAGGAATGCTAGCATTTATGAGAAGATTCTACAGAAGTATGGACATTTCCTTAGGAAGACCGTAGATCCCTATGGATTTGCTAGTAAAGTCCTTGAAATCTTCTAGGTTTGTAGAGAGTTCTAGAGAAAGCCCTCATCTTGTAAATATTAAGGACTTGTGTAACAATTAATATTTACATACTAGCCCCTAGGAGACTAGAATATAAAGGGGGCCATTCATTTGTAATTCACCAAGCAAAAATAATCAAGTTCTCTACAATAAAAAGCTTCCTTTGACAAATTTCTCTTGTTTTTTTTTTATCTAACATTTCCTTAGCGATCTTGAGTGTAGTATTTTAGGCTGACTTGGCACAGCAAGATCATGACCGAGTTGTGTAAGATCATAAGCAAGTTGTCAAGTGCTGCACGAGCGCTTAGTTCAAGACTAAGGACGTGACATCTTGTATATAAATTTCAAGTTACATTCATGTGGAAGTAGATAAATGGCTTCTTTATCTTTGTAAATCAGAATGTGTGCATGACTTTTTTGCTTGGCCAGTACTGCTTAAAGCAGTCTTGAATGAATGCTGTACTTAAAGATCAAAACTTTTTTCAGCTAAGGCGTCATGTTAGGGAGATGAGGGAGACTAGAGCAGTTCCAGCCACTCAAATTAAGGCTGAGCAGGAGAAGATGGCATTGGCGAAGAAGGCACTTAACACTTTGCAGTCTTTCCCCCGTGGCATGGAATGCATAGATCCTCTAAGATTGGGGTACCTATTATCGTCTTACTTTTTTATGTATCTCAAACTGTTCACTGGTAATGTCTTGTGCTAACTGGGATGCTGCTTTGTACTGACAGGATAGTTGACAATAGAACGTTACGGATGATCAGTGAGCACTCATCAAGCTCCCCATCTGTAGGTGATAGGGATCATGTAGACGCCAAAACTCGCGGTATTTAATTTTTTCACCAAATTAGTTTATCATATTATAACTTTTTTTTATTCTCCTTATTCATTATAATTCCCCCAGGAAATATTCTTTTCATCAGCCTCTTTCAATAATATTTCGAATTGAATGTGCCATGCGATGATAATATGGAGATGAATCTGTATGACAACTTTCATTCATCTACACTTTGTTGGATGCTTCTGGATTCATGTGTGGGGCACTCACTCTTAGTACTGTTGAGTGGACTTTTTTTATTGCAGTATCTTTTAGGCCTGTACTGCTGCTCCCTCTTTAGTTCTTGTAGCTAGACAAATAGCAGGATCTCTAACTCACATGGTAGGGCATGTGATGTTTGGGCACCTAAGCAGACTTAAGACAAAAACATTTTATTCCTTATGTGGTGGATCCCTTGGGAATGATGTTCTACTATCCTACTGGGAAAGATCATATTGTGGTTGAGGAAAAAGCATGGGGATGCTGCTATGTGATCTCTAAATCTGTTTTCATTGTTTTGCAGTGCACTTTGTATGTGCACTAATGTGGCATTGGATTACTAGACAAGCCTGCAGGAGGATTCCCGGATTATATTATTTTGTCAAGTTTTGCTGGTGGCAATCGCTTGGTGATGCGTGCATCTCCTGAGAATATCATTGGTGATGGACAGAAACGCAGCACGTTCACTAAAACTGTGCTTTGATGTTGACAGGACATATTTTAAAACAAAGCTGCCGAAACTATTCATAAATACTATACTCATATATGTTAAGTGATTTTTGTAATTTCTGTAAATCATGCATTTTATTTCTAAGAAGCATGCGAATGTCATTTCTCTCTTTTTGCTTAAAGCCCGAGGAATTTACACGATCATTTTGATTAACAGTTTGATTAACTATTTGTTTTCTATTTTCATTTACTACTACAAGTTCCTTCTATAGTTTCTCTATCTCAGGCAAGTTATCAACTGAAATTTTTCACAAGACAGTGCGCCAATTTTGCAGAGAGGTTGAATTATTTTTCTGAGAAGTTTGACCCAAAGTTGTTTCTATCCCGAATCCACCAAGACACTAGTGCAGCAGACTTGGAGGCGGGTGCTCTTTCTTTGAAGACTGATCTTAAAGGACGTATGCAACAGAAAAAACAATTGGTCAAAGAAAATTTCGATTGCTTTGTGTCTTGCAAAACAACGATTGATGGTGAGCTTCACATCTTGTTTGATAGGAAGTTTTCGCCTTACTTTGATTTACCATAGGAAGATCTAATCTGGGCTGATGTTTTTGCTATAGATATTGAATCGAAGTTGAGACGCATTGAGGAAGACCCTGAAGGTTCTGGAACTTCTCACTTATTTAATTGTATGCAAGGAGTCAATTCAATTGCTAACCGTGCTTTTGAGTCACTATTTGAAAGACAGGTAAATAGGATGTGATACTGTATTTTTCAGTTCAATCCATTTAATGAAGTTGATTATTGTAGGTGTTGGTGTTTTGCCTCTTCTTTTTTTGTTAGTATATAACAAGTAGAAGCATTTCCGTGTAGGCTCAAGCTGAGAAGATAAGAGCTGTTCAAGGAATGCTTCAGAGGTTCCGAACATTATTTAACTTACCCAGTACCATTCGCGAGAGCATTAGTAAGGGTGAATACGACCTGGCAGTCAGGGAGTACAGGAAAGCAAAGTCAATTGTTCTGCCTTCTCATGTAAGTGAAGGCTAAAATATTCTGTGACTTTTACACTTGCCCGTATTGGATTGTGCTTTCTGTTTGAAACTGTTGAAACCAATCTAAATCCTGCAAAACAAGTACACCAACACAAGATAATGCAGAAGTTTATTGCATCTATACATGTTCATGTCTCTGTGTGTGTGAGGCCCTATGTTTCCCAGTCTTAGTGATCAATTAATCCAAGATACCTTGTGGTCATGAATAATATAGGATACTCCAGGCTAGTACATGGCTGTTGGCAATGCCCAACTCTAGTAATTATGGGAAGAAGAATCTTAATTATAAAAAATAATTATAGAGTTTCGATATACATTTCACCGAGGCCCTTCCTACGACGTACATTTAAGCAAATGCTTGCTCTTAACAATGTTTTATACTGAGAAGTAATGCTTATTCTTTGTTTAACGCATTTGTGTTCACCTCAATGTAAAGGAATAGGAACATCCTAGTGCCTTGTTTAATGATTCCATATTTACTAAAAGAAATATTTTAAGACCTTCCTTGTTTCTGGCTAGTGCAGGTTGTTTATGCTCGTTGAAATGTAGATTCTTTGGGTAGGCATCTTTCATCACATGGGGAAAAAACACTTGATAGAGTTTCATGCTGTTGATGTCTTTAGTTTGATTTATTATTAAACATTCCTCTTGACTTTTATATGATGCTTGACACCTTGAGGTTATCTTCTGATTATTATTTATGCTTCTCTGTTTTTTTTTTACTTCTTTGCATATAGATTCTTTTTTTTTTTTTGTTATTTTTGTCATCATTATCCAAAGCTTTTGCTTTTGTTTTAGTCACTATTTATTTCATTTGTTTTCTTCAGGTGGGAATTTTGAAGCGTGTCCTTGAGGAGGTTGAAAAAGTTATGCAAGAGTTTAAAGGCATGCTTTACAAGTCTCTGGAAGATCCTCATATTGACCAGACAAATGTAAGTCATCCTTCAGTTAGTTTACCAACTTGAGCTCATCTTTTTGAATGGTAGAAGATATGGCAAGTGTAGGATGGCATCACGGTGGACTGTTGGTTCTCTAAAAGTCTTCATAAGGAGCTGCGTCAATAATGCAGTATAATCTGAAATAGTCAAAAGACTGAAGATCTCAACTCTGTCGTGTCTCTGGATTTAAAGCAATAAATATAGCCCTCGTTTTTCAATACGTTTTTACAAATGCTCGGTAGTCCTTACAACTGGTTTTGCTTCCCTCCCATAACACTTCCAAATCTGCTTTGATAACCAGTGAGCAGTTTTGACCATTCTTTTTGACAACTATTTTTCTTATTCATTTGAGAGTGACATTTATCTGGAGGGGTACAAATTGCCTTGCTGAACTTGTAATTCGAAACATAACTTGAGAAGCTACTATTTGATTGTTGGGATCAGGTTGTAGATCCACCACAGAATGATGGCCTTGTGTTACCGTCGACTTAGAACAAGAGTGGTCTGTGATAGGAGTACCTTACCTTTGCTAGAGGAAGAATATGTCTGTCAAACCAGTTCCATATGTAAAAGAGGAAGAATATATCTGTAAAACGAGTTCCATATGTTCCTATCCATATATTAGCTTCTTCCACCCCACCTAATTCGTTGTGCTTGATTGGGATGCTACTATATCAAGTGGATTATACTTGATCAAAGAGCTCGAACTTGTACATCTCTTGTTCACTTGGCTTGTAGCAGCTATTGTCTTTCTGCTACTCCCCGTGTAGATAATTCTTTTCTTTTTCTTCTGCTTCTAATTTACCTATTGGTCAGAATGCCTCAAATATATTCTTGCTAGGTTATCTAATTTCAGATTGTTTTAGGGAATTTGTTTCTTTTCTGCAGGGAATCAATTGGTATTTGCCTTTCTAAAAACTTGTTGTTAACTTATAATGGGCTTCTTTCCAAATACTTGATATTACCATTGTCCTTGAAAATGATAGATTTTCTTATATAATTGCTTGATTTTGCAGTTTTCATCTCCATTTGGGCTTGACTTACATACCTTGGCATTGGGTGCAACCTTTTAAATGCTGACAATTTTACTTACCTATTAGTTTTTAGAAAGTTCTGAGGTTTGTCAAACTTTACATTTTTTCTCATGTGGTATCCCATAATGCTTCTTGTAGCTTGAAAATATAGTGAGACTCTTGTTGGAGTTGGAACCTGAATCAGATCCTGTATGGCACTACTTGAATATACAGGTGAAGCATCTAAATCCGATATTATCCTTTTTGATTACATATAATGGTGTTATGCTTAGGGTGGACCAGTTGGAACATCAGTACTTGTAGATTTGTGCTCTTTGATCTCTCTCCACTGAAATTCTATGTTTTTCATGTTTGAGAAATTTGGCTTTTCAAGTTCATTGCTTAATTCTTATAGAAAAAGGAAAATGCAGGGTAGATCATGAAAACCCTCCTCTTCCTAATTAAGAATGATTGGCATTTTTCTTTCCTCCTTTAACACAATGTAATAGTATCTTCCCTTATGGACGTGGTAAATATTGTCTAGCTTTATGAATAGCACTTCATTCTGACTTATCCTCTGGGGTTAAAGTGTGGACATAATTCTACTATTTCACAGAACCACAGAATTCGAGGCTTGCTTGCGAAATGCTCTTTAGATCATGAAGCAAGGATGGAGAATTTACAGAATGAGATGAGAGCAAGAGCTTTATCTGATGCAAAATGGAGGCAAATTCAGCAAGATCTGAACCATTCTGTAAGTATGATTGCCTGTTATCAGAAAGCCATGGATAATTAAATTCAACTTCAGATTAATGTTTCTCATTACATGTTACAAATGATGATCAGTCAGACATTGACTACTCTGTATCTCCTGGTGATTTGCAACCATTAGAGATGATCGGTGAACAAGGGGATGCTCTTAGAGGAAGATATATACGTAGGTTGACTGCTGTTATTATTCATCATGTGCCTGCCTTCTGGAAAGTTTCCGTTTCGGTTTTCAGTGGGAAGTTTGCAAAGGTAACCAGACTCTCCTACCCATTGTACTCTATTCCTCAGGTTGGACCAAATATTCTAAGGATAAGATTAAGATATCCTCTGTCATCTACCAAGTCAGTGAGGACCACATAGCTTTCGTGGAGTAAATTTGATGCATTGATGCACTTTTGGAATAAAGTTGCTGAATTAGTACTTGCCATATGTAGTCGATCTCACTTTTCTTTCTTCCCTTGAATTTGTTCTCACAAAATCCATTACTAGCGTCAATTTTGGATCACATTACTCTGACTAGCTTGTTTACACATTACTCTGACTAGTTTGCTAAATTGGACATATTTCTCATTCTTTCATCTTGTCCAATTTTAATTAGATTGGTTGATTTGCAAGTTTCTAGGAGAACTCTAATTCTCGAGAGTATGCAAAATCTTTGAAGATTGAAAATTCTAAATGGTTTTATAATGTAAATTTTCTAAGCTCAGATTTGTCTCTTTAAGATAGACACTGTGGTTATTTCTTTTACTTGGAGGTTTGGACCTCAAATGCTGGGTTACTTTGCACTATGAAGCAAGCATCCATGATACAATAGCTGAAATCTGATGCTCCATTGCCAGACTGAATTTTGGTTGTGTCCAGCTGTGACAGCCATCTAACTATTCCTTTTGATTATAATTTCTTTGCCATTGTTTTTGTAGCGTTTGGTAATTTCAAGTGGTATATTTCTGGGAATAGGTCAAGATGATTACCATTTGTTTCTCGTACTAGAGAAATTTGTTGCTTCTCCAATTTTTGGGGGATGTGCATCAGAGTTGCAGTTTTTCTTATTAGTAAGATGTATTATTTGCTTCCATTTGCTAGTTCTCTGAGTTCTTTTTCTTGTAAATAGACTTCCCAAGTGTCTTCTGATTCAAATGTCAATGTCTCTGCAAAGAGAACTGAAGAAAAAGTAGGAGACGGAAAGTACTCAAGTCATTCTCTTGATGAAGTTGCTGGAATGCTGCAGAGTACTTTATCAGCTTATGAATCCGAGGTAAATGCTTCCTCTTGATGGCAGGAGAGTAAGTTGCCGAGGGTTATGCTTACTTTTAGACACATGTGCACCTAGTTTTTTCCCTTTTCTGGCTGTTGATAGAGGAAGCTGTTTTTGACACTACCACTTTGGTTTATTATTTTTCAATTGTGAGGCCAGCTAATGTTGGTCTTTATCTTCAACAAATTTAACCACTGCCTAATTCAGAGCAGATTCCTGGTATCATAATCCAGATTAAAAGGGACTAGCTTAGACCTCATCGAAAGATGACAAACAGGTAGTTAGAAATGACTTTCCCGCAAAATATGAAATCTCAAGAAAAAAGATCCTCTGGTTTATGGCATACGTTTATAGACAACTTAAGCTCTTTTACCTTTTTAAACGGAATGTAGCAAATGTCTTATGTGAATCTCTATATCCATCCCTCGCTATTTTGGCCCCTTTGATTTTTATACTGGTAAATATGTCATTTAAGGCAAACTAAGAGTTCTTTACCTAAATCTCACACTTATCGATGTACTGATATATAATCTCTTACCATTTCTTCGGACAAATATCAGACCTAATGCAAATGTGACAGCAACAATAACTAAGAATTAGTCCCAACTAGGTGCTAAACCTATATAGATTCGTCGCTTCTATTGTGTTATATGTTCTTAGCGAAGTCTTCACTTGTATGTCTGTTGAGACAGCTTTCATCCATATGATTTTAGGTCTATCCCGTCCCTTTTAGCATATTCAATCAACATATCGCCACACTTACAAACCAGTGCATTCAGAGGCTTACATAGAACATAGCAAAACCATTTCAAGTGAGCTTCTCTTATTGTATCCTCTATGTATGCTACTTGCCTCTCTCTACTTACAACAACAACAACAACAACCCAGTAAAATCTCACAGGATAATAACATACCCAGTATAATCCCACTAGTGGGGTCTGGGGAGGGTAGTGTGCATGTAGACCCTTACCCCTATCCTGTGGAGGCAGAGAAGTTGTTTCCGAAGATCCTCGGCTCAAGAACAAATGAAAAGGAGTAGTAGCAAAAAATAGTAACAACAACAATATAATAAGATAACTGAAGGGAAAGAAATAACATGTAGTAATATAACTCTACGAACAAAAATACAAGACTAATACTAATGCAACTGGTATGGTAAAGAAATACACTCAACTGCCCATTAACTTTCTACCCTAATCCTCGACCTCCACACCCTCCTATTAAAGGTCATGTCCTTAGTAAGCTAAAGTTGCGACATATCCTGCCTAATCAAATCACCTCAATACTTCTTACGCCTACCTGTGCCTCTCCTCATGCCCACCAAAGCCAATCTCTCACACCTCCTCATGGGGGAATCTGCACCTCTCCTCTTCACATGCCCGTACCATCTTAACCTCACTTCTCGCATCTTGTCCTCCACGGGGGCCACTCTCGCCTTGTCCCGAATAACTTCATTCCTAATCTTATATCTCCTAGTATGCCCCCACATCCATCTCACTATCCTCATTTCTGCTTCTTTCATCTTCTAGACATGAGAGTTCTTAACTACCCAACACTCTGCCCCATATAACATAGTCGGTCTAACCACCACTTGTTGAACTTACCTTTAAGTCTAGGCGACACATTCTTATCACACAAAACACTGGATGCGAACCTCCATTTCATCCACCTCGCTCCAATACGATGTGTGACATCCTCATCAATCTTCCATTACCTTGAATTACTGATTCGAGGTATTTGAAAACTTCCTTTCTTGGGGAGGACTTGAGTGTCAAGCGTCTCTACTACGTCTGAATCATGATTTTCGTCACTGAACTTACACTCCAAGTATTCTGTTTTAGTCCTGCTCGATTTGAAACCTTTTGACTCCAGGGTCTGTCTTCACACCTCCGGCCTCTACTTGATATGGTCATTGCTAATCTTCTCCAATCTTGTATGATTTTATTTTTGTCTAAAAACTGCATTTTCACAACACTCATCTAGTGGACAGTTTGGTCTTAGAGGCCAGACATTCACTTCAATGTATATTGCTGGTCTTTTGCTTTACTCTTTTTAGGCATATCTTCCTACAGCATAGGATTCGGCACTCCATTTCAACTATTCTATCTTAGTTCTATATGTTACATCCTCATCTATCATTTCCATTCTCCTAGAAAATTGATTCTAGATATCTGAATTGTGTGTGTTTAGGCTCCAATAATTCCATCCAATCTAACTTCACCTTCATTCTTATGCAGGTTGAACTTGCAATGAATATATTATGTCTTTGCTTCTACTATTCTAAACCCTTCTAGACTTCTTTCTTTTGACTTCCCTACTAGTTTCGTCAATTAAAATAATATCATTGACAAATAGTATGCGCCATAGAACGTAATCCCAATTACTATTAATTAGCTCATCTAGGATAAACAAGCAAATTCTTAAGGCAATTCCTTGGTTTACTCCCAGTCTCTGTATCTCCTCTCTCACTGCTCTTACATTTGTGACCTTTCATTAATATTTATCTTTGATGGAATTTATATTTGATATGGACTCTTTTTCATGATAAGCACCTATTCTTCTCTCATTGTTCTCAAATTTGTGACCTTTCATTCAAACTTATCTTTGATGATATTTTATATATTTGATATGGTTTCCTCTCATGCCGAGCACCTATCAAAGAACTTTCGTGGTGCTCTATTGTATGCTTTCTCTTGATCAATAAATATCATGTGAAGATCCTTCTTCCTCTTGTTATAAGTTTTTCTTAGCAAAAATATAACCTCAGCTGTAGTTTTACTAGGCATAAGCCACACTTGTCTCTATCACCCTTATCTATGCCCTATAGTTCTTTCCCACATTTCAACCTTGTGAGAAGGCACGGGAGAAAATATGTTATTGATATTAGATTAACAATACAATACAAGAGGTCCTTATTTATAGCTATACTATACAAGGACATACTATTCTTCTACCAATGTGGGACAATACTACACTATATACATGCTGTAAACTAACACTCCCCCTCAAGCAGGTGCATACAAATCATATGTACCGAGCTTGTTACATATATAACCAATACGAGGACCAGTGAGAGACTTGGTGAAAATATCTGCAAGTTGATCATTCGACCTCACAAACTTTGTAGCAATCTCTCCTGAAAGTATCTTTTCTCTGACGAAGTGACAATCAATCTCAATGTGTTTAGTTCTCTCATGGAACACCGGATTTGATGCAATATGAAGGGCA